TCGAGATTTCTAGAAAGTGTATTGAGCTTTCCTTTGGTCGTGTCCTCCATTTGTGCTTCTGACACATGGTCATCCTGGGTCCAGGGTGACCAGAGGTCCTCCTCCTTTTCCAGCACATGTCCTCCATTTCAACCAGGAGGAATGCCAAAAGGAGCATGGCCAAGAAGCCTGGATCAACAAACATTTCTAGGAAGTGTTTTGAACTTTTTTTTTCTTATCATCTCCTCCATTTATGCTTCTGACACGTGGTCATCCTGGGTCCAGGGTGACCAGAGGTCCTCCTCCTCCTCCTCCTTTTCCAGGACATGTCCTCCGTTTCAACCAGGAGGAATGCCAAAAGGAGCATGGCCAAGAAGCCTGGACCGGCAGCATTTCTAGGAAGCGTCTTGGTCGTGGCCCCCTTGAGCCGCCTCTCCTGGGCCAGGCAGCCGAAGAAGGCGAGGGAGGGAGGGAGGGACGGAGGGCAGGGCCTTGGTCTGGGCGCGGCTGAGGCAGAAGAGGCCGCGAGGAACGGCGTGGGCCGAGGGAGGGCAGGGCAGGGCAGGTGAGGGCAGGTGAGGGCCCATCCCCTCCCATCCGGCGCTGCGAGCGGTGAGCAGCAGCAGCAGCAGCAGAAGCCGGGGCATGGCGTCGGAGAAGGTGCTGCGGGAAGGGCTGCTGGAGAAGCGGAGCGGGGGCCTGCTCCAGCTGTGGAAGCGCAAGCGCTGCCTCCTGAGCGAGCGGGGCCTGAGGCTCTTCGAGGCCGGACCGCGGGGCTCCGGCCGCTGCAAGGAGCTGCCCTTCGCCGGCGTCAAGGCCGTGGAGTGCGTGGAGGGCAAGCGCGGCCGCGTCTACTTCACGCTGGTCACCCAGCAGGGCGCCGAGATCGACTTCCGCTGCCCCCAGGAGGAGCCCCCCTGGAACGCCGACATCGCCCTCGCCCTCGTCCGCTTCAAGAACCAGCAGGCCCTCCAGCTCGTCCGCGCCAGGCACACCTGCACCGGGACAGGTAAGCTCGCCTCCGGGGCAGGACGCCCGGGAAAGGGCCAGGCACCGCAGGGTCTCCTTTGGGAGGACAGGGCCGCCGTTTCCGTCATCATCAGCATCATAGAGTTGGAAGAGACCACAAAGGACATCCAGTCCAGCCCCATCCTGCCATGCAGGAACTCACCATCCAAGCACCCCTTGTGACAGATAGCCATCCAGCCTCTGCTTAAGGAGGAGACTCCACTACTCTCTGAGGAAGTGTGTTCCACTGTCGAACTGCCCTTACTGTCAGGAAGTTTCTCCTAATGTTGAGGTGGAATCTCTTTTCCTGCAGCTTGCATCCGTTGTTCCAGGTCCTGTTCTCGGGGCAGCAGAAAACAAGCTTGCTCCATCCTTAATATGACATCCATTTAAATATTTAAACATGGCTATCATATCCATCTGTCAGGGATACTTTGATTGGGAGTTCCTGCATAGCAGGGGGTTGGACTGGATGGCCCTTGTGGTCTCTTCCAACTCTGTGATTCTATGATTCTATGATTCTATGATCCCCTCCTAACTGCCTCTTCTCTAGGCTAAACATACCCAGTTCCCTAAGTCATTCCTTGTAGGGCACGGTTTCCAGACCCTTCACCATTTTAGTTGCCCTCCTCTGGACACGGTCCAGTTTTTCAACATCCTTTTTGAATTGTGGTGCCAAAACTGGACACAGTATTCCAGGTGGGGCCTCATCATCATTTATTTGTTTATTTATATACTCATCCTTCCACATTCGCTGGGGTTAGGGGCACAGACTAAGAATGGGGAGGTTATGAAAGAACTAGAAAAGATTCTAAAATGCAAAGATATAATACAACTCAGTACAAAAGTTAGAATCATACAAGCCATCATATTCCCTATTACCATGTATGGATGTGAGAGCCGGACAGTTAAGAAGGATGATAGGAAGAAAATCAGTGCATTGAGATAATGTGCTGGAGAAGAGTGCTGAGGACCCCATGGACAGCCAAAAGGACAAATGAATGAGTCCTAGAACAGATCAAACCAGAAACCTCCCTGGAAGCCAAGATGACCAAACTGAGGTTGTCGTACTTTGGACACATCACAAGAAGAGAGGACTCTTTAAAAAAAATAATGCTGGGAAAGGTGGAGGGAAGTAGGAAGAGAGGAAGGCCACATGCCAAATGGATGGTCTCTATTAAGGAGGTCACTTTGGGTATTAAGGGGTTGCAGGAATTTAGTGGAGCAGAGGAAGACAGAAGGTCTTGGAGATGTCTCATCCATAGGGTCGCCATGAGTTGAGATCAGCTCGAGGGCAGTTAACATCAACAACAAAAGGGGCACAGGACCCCCATGAATGTGGGAAAACACTGTGCTAATAACAAAATCACTATTTATTTTTACTGTAGAGAGATCTTGTAGTATCTTTGAGACTAACTGAAAGAAAGCAGTGTGCCAACTTCTTTCTTTCAGTTACAGTAGTCTCAAAGGTGCTACAAGATCTCTCTACATACTGATTCTACAGACTAACATGGCTATATCTCTGAATTATACCACTATGTTTTTACCCGAGAGAACACCCCTCTAGGAGTCCCTAGGCCCCCCAGTGCAACTCTGTGGTCAACATTGACCATAGAATTGTGCTGGAGGAGCTACAAATGCCTAGTGGAGCATTCTCTCTAGGAATCTCTAGGTCCTTCAGTGCAATTTTTGGTTAAAGTTGACCACACAGTTGCGCTGGAGGACCTAGATATTGCTAGAGAAGACATATTAATAAAATCCATGAATAATCACATCTGCACAAGTCAAAGCCACAAATGTGGAGGAACAAGTATATAGTGCAATCCATGTACATGGCGCTTTACAATTACAGAATAAAACACTTATAGGTATTCCAATAATGTAAAATACGACACTAAAATACATTAAAAAATAAAAATATCACACACACACACACACACACACACACACACACATGCAATGCAGAATTAAAAAATAGTCAGTACAAATAATCAGGTATATTCCTAGTGATGCTTTGGAGGTCTTTAAAAACAGGATAGATGGCCATCTCTCTGGAGTGTGTTAGTTGTGTCTTCCCTCTTGGGAGGATGGGTTCCATTTAGATGACCCCTTGTGGACCCTTCCAGCAATATGATTTCCTAGGGCTTTCTTCATAAAGGAGGGAGCAACAGACCAGCTGTCCTTGCGTTTGATCTTTGCTTTTCAAATATTTTATTTGGGTTGTGATTTATGTCATGGTGTGCAGCATCTTCACTCCCATCAATGGCACCTTCTTTCAGTTTTCACTTTCTATCAATAATGATGATGATGGTGTCGACAACTATGATGTTCAATTAATTAATTAATTAATTCAAGGATTTATATCCTGCCTTTCTCGCACAAATGGGATTCAAGGTGGGTCACAAAAGATAAAACACTGATTACAAAAGTTTAAAAAATAATTAAATCTTACCAATATTAAAACATAAATTAGAAATAGCATAGTTGAAACCAGTAAAACCATTAAGACAGCACACCACACTACACAAGTAAAATTCACTCACCAAACGCCTGCCTAAATGAAACTGTCTTCCGCTGCCAGCGAAAAGAGAGCAGGGAGGGGTCCAACCTAACCTCCTGTGGAAGGGAGTTCCACACCCTTTCAATCAAAGGGCAGTGCATCAGAACATACACAATCAAAAACGAATGATAAAACACCACACCCTATAATGCTAAAATGGTAAAATAATGTACTAATATACTAATTTGTTGTTGTTGTGGGCCTTCAAGTCATATCTGACTTATGGCCACCCTAAGAGGGAACCTAGCATGGGGTTTTCTTGGCAAGAGTTGTTCAGAGGAAGTTTGCCATTGCCTTCCTCTGAGGCTGAGAGAGTCACCCACTGGGTTTCCATGGCCGAGCTGAGATTTGAACCCTGGTCTCCAGAGTCCTAGTCCAACACTCAAACCATTACGCCATGTTGGCTCTCATTTATTTATTAAAAATAATTATCACTTCTTTGCTGACCAGCAGTCCCAAAGCAACTACATTAAAAAAAAAATCTTTAAAAGCAGATTGAAATCAGTTTTCAAAGGTTGTTTTAACTATCCTGGACAGTGAAGACATGAGATCAAACTGAAGATGGCTAATTGGTCTGCATTGAGCACAAAGCCTTAGAGTTCCTGAATTTAGGCCCTACGAAGATCTTTGGCCATGGAAAACCATTCCAGCAGTCTTGCAGAGAGAGAGGGCCCAAAGAGAAAATGGGCATGTCAGGGCAAAGATCCAATGACACTCCCCTTCCCATCTGAAAACTAGAACTTTGAATGCTTAGCTGCTTTGGAATGGTAACCTGAAATCTGAATATAAAAGGCAGTCTAGGGAAGTCTTGGTGGATGTGAATCAACCCTTACATCACAGCAGCTCAACAGATGGAGACTGCCTGAGTGTGAATATCTGTATGTGAAGAGATCTTGTAGCACCTTTGAGACTAATTGAAAGAAAGACATTGGCAGCATGAGCTTTTATAGACTTAAGTCTACTTCTTCAGATGCATTTGGTGGATAGACTTAAGTAGATGCATCTGAGGAAGCAGACTTAAGTCTACGAAAGCTCATGCTACCATTTTTTTTCTTAATCTCAAAGGTGCTGCAAGATCTCTTCACATACTGATTTCACAGACTAATATGGCTATATCTAAAAGTGTGCGAATATGTTCATTCAGTCTTGGGACATGAGGAATACTGTACTCTCTTGGAAATGTTACTTTGGGGATCATAACGTCCAGATTCCCCTTGTCAGTGTGGCCAGTGTCTGAGAAAGTTCTGGGAGTTGTAGTCCAAAAAGGTAACACTGAACTGACTGAACCATAGCAAAAGAGTGTTTTTCCTCTCTGCATGTGAATGGATTTCCTTCCTCCTGCTTCCTCCTTCACCTAGCAAGAAGTGTGGTGCCTTCAGGTTGCCTGTCTTCTTATGGTGACCCCATAAATTTCATAAAAGTTTGTTTGGCAAAGACATGGTGGCAAATTCTCATTGTTTAGCAAATAGGTGAAGTAGTTTCATATTTGTAGAATTATATGCAGTTTATCAGCCTCAGTGAAGGAATGCAAAATGGTCAAATACTTTATGGCTTCTTCATTGCTCTTATTTATGGTTTTGGGGTCAAGAATAGAGAATGTTTTTAAAGGAAGGATTAGGGCACCATAAGTAATAACACACACACAAAAAGAAAGTGTAGAACATTATTTTCACATTTTCCTAATGTTTAACTAGTTTGAGTGATGCTGCACACTCATTGCAAAAGAAGTTTCACTCATGACTCAAAGGTATCTTACTCCTTTAAGTAATATTTAAATAGTGGATTAAAAATGTCTGACAAAAGGTTGGTGAAAGAATAGTAAATACATCTTCTTTTGCTTTGATAACGTTCACTTCAGATTGACATAGCCAGTCAGTCAAACATGGCCATTATCTGTTGTTGAATATTATTATAAATCATAGTTGCCCCCTGTTCAACAGTTAATTTACCCATTGCTGTTAAACTATAATTTGCTAGCCTAGAGATCCCTGATAGCCAAACTAGATTTGATGACATCTTTTTTTGTGTGTGTGTTTAAACATTGAGTTGGTCCAATCAAGCAGAAGGAAAAGCTGAAAGAGGAGCTAAGGTTTTCCCTCATTTGAGTTCCAATATGTGAGAATTGCACTTGGAGCAAAACATTTGGACAGAGGACAGAGACTGACTTCAAGACCTTGTGCTGCCTGAGGAATGAACAAGAGGTCACTTCCTCTCCATTCCATATAAGCATGAGACTGAACTAGTTGATGGATCTTACTTAAATCCTGCAATGGGATAGGCCATCCCCAAGCCAATGTGGTGACTATTCTAGCTGGAAGATATTTGGAATTGTAGTCCACAAAATAGGGATGTGATGGGTCAGCAGTTCAGATGCTGACTCTGATGGTTGCAAGATTGGCAGATCAGCAGTTTGAGGCCCAGGTACCACGTGACAGAGTGAGCTCTCATCACTAGTCCCTAGCAATTCAAAAGCATGTAAAAGTGAAAGTAGATAAATAGGTGTCACTTTGGTGGGAAGGTAACAGCAATCTGTGCAGTCATGTTGGCCACATGACCAAGGAGTCGTCTTCGACAACGCTGGCTCTTTGGCTTAGTAACAGAGATGAGCACCTCCCCCTACACTTGGACATGACTTGACAATCTTGTCAACCTTTATCTTTAGTCCACAAAGTTACATTGCCAAGCTGTGGCTTCCACCCTAAAGCTCGTACTATTTCACTCCTAAGATTTTGTACATGCTGCCCTTTCAAGAGTCTTCATTCTTAGAACAAGAAGGCACCTCATCCCCATTTCATGTAAAAAGGCTAACTGAACTGGCAGATGGAAATTACTTGAACTCTGGAGATGGGAGTAGAATCTACCACCACACCTGAGGGCTACATGATAATTTAGGGGGTGCAGGACAGGCAGGTACAGCCCTGTTCTCCAGGAGAGTAGAGCGATGAGGGGAATTAGGAAGGGCATGGGAGGCAGGAATGCTGACTCCCCACCTCTGTTGCCTGAAGCTGTTGGAAGTAGACTGAACTCTACAAAAGTTCATGCTGCCAAATTCTTTCTTTCAATTAGTCTCAAAGGTGCTACAAGATCTCTCTACATATTGATTCTACAGACTAACATGGCTATATCTTTGAATTCTACCACTGTTGGAACAGTTTGCTTAATGGTAAACGTGGCCCTTGATAGTAGAATTGTAGGGAAGCAAGCTGAATGTCAGGGAGTGGAGTCAGTACTCCTTGCCTTCATCTCCCATTTGTTCTTAAAAACATGTGTGTTCCCCCCCCCCCCCCCGGAATGGTGCCATTTGGTGTTGAAACACCAGGAACTTCTATTGTGAGGTCTAAGCCCGAGCCTTGTAAATGTATCCAGTGTTGCCCATCTCTCAAAAGAAAACCTACTTACTGGACTTCGCCATCAGAGACAGTGTGATTTCCCCTTCTTTCTTCCTCCTCTTTCAAGTGTTCTTGCCCTGTTTTTGTTTTGCCTATCCTGCTCTGACATGCCATGCTGCAAATCCTCATCAATCAGTAACTGTAATAAATGTGAGGCTATTGTTCAGTGCATGCCCAGACCAGTGCATTGGGGATAGCTTGTTCCATCCAGCAAGACTGATAGAAAGATGGTTTTTTTTGGGGGGGGGGGTTAAAAAAAATTGAGCACTCCAGTAGAGCTGTGCAACTCAAGGTGGTTCTAAGTCCTTGGCAGGGAGGAATGGAAACCCACTCGATCTATATGGCTTTAGCCATTCCGCCCCCCCCCCCTTGGGTAGCATTTTGCAGAAGTACTTTCATATAGGAGCTCTTCCAACTTTTCTGATACAAAGGGGTAGCACTGAACAGAGGTGACCAAGTAGCTCTCATGACACAGATACCACTTTATGCTAGGATAAAGTGAGAACACTTGACTAATATGTATCAAATCTCTATTGTGTGTCATGATGAATAGGCAGGTGCCTCTTGAAACCTCCAGATTCATACACATCACCCATAATCAATTAAGCAATCTTTTTTTTTTAAATCCTCTTTTTAACTGATGGTGCATCTCTACTGTAGAAATATGCAGTTTAACATCACTAAGTGCTGTAGCTCAATACTACAGAATCCCGGGATTTGTTGTGTTGTGAGGCACCAGCACTCTTTGACAGAGAAGGCTAAAGATCCTATAAAACTACAGGTCCTATGATTCCATAAAATGGAGCTATAGCACTTTAAGTGGTGTCAAACTGCATTATTTCTACAGCGGAGATACTCCCATGGTGTACTGTTTTCAGTGTTGGACTACAACTCTGGAGACCAGAGTACTTTATAATTTCAGATGAAATTGTACTGTATATAACATTGAAGAACACTGAAGAAGTGTATTCCTGGAGACAGGAAATGCTCAATTTATATTTGTTATTGTTGTTACTGGTGTGTTACAGTTACATTTCTTGGTATGTTAAGTGCTTTACAAAATTGCAACAAACCTGTGAAAACTGAGCACTTGTACTTTAATAGGAACTTTTTCATAACTCTGTCTGGTGCTTGTAGTTGTCTGGTTACTGTTTCATTTCATTTCTGGTCTAATGATTTTTCCTTCCTTTCCCAGCACTGCAACAGGAGGCAGCTCCAAACAGCCAGGTTCTCATGAATGGATCAAAGGAGCCAGATCCTAAGTTGAACATAGAGAGAGTAGAGGAGCTGATGGCTGTGAATTCACCTGCCAATGGACAGAAGGCAATTTCCACCTGCAACTGAATGTAGACCTGTTAACTCTCTTCTGTGACATTGGCAATGCAAGAGAAAGTGATGCCAGAAGCATCCAGCAAAACTTGGATAGCAAGTTATAGAAAAAATGGGCTGCTACTTTTGATCCCTTGGCAAGGCACAGGCAAAGTGTTGTGGGCAGATAGATTGACTATCTATCCTCAATGGCCTTTTCTGTGGTGAACTTAGTGGGATAGATTCAAGTCACGGATGCAGCAAGTTTGATAAAGAGGATCATTCCATTGTTGGGTCTCCCACCAGCCTAGTGCTGGATGGGCAATGTTGGAAGCAACTGAAGTGAGATAATTGAAGAGAACTGTTTGAGCTGAACATGCAAGATGCCTTCTCACAGTAATTGCAAGAGGACATCCTTCCATAGTGAACCAAGTGGTGATCTTGGAAGAGGCAATTGTAAACCATTCCATTTGCCTTCCTGTTTCCTTGCCTGAGAAGCCTTGCGTTATTAGGAATATGCCTGCAGGATTAATTAGATAGACTGAATACAAATTTAAGCACCTTCACAAGGAGCTCATGTGACATGGTGGAGTTCTGAGACTTTCTAAAATAAGTTCCCTCTGTAATAATTGTTCCTTGAGGCCTTCTATCTAAAGAACAGGGAGAATGACAACCTGAATCACTCCAGTGCCTTATGTTGTGCAAAAG